CACACACACACACACACACACACACACACACACACACACACACACACACACCATCACTAAATGTCAGAGATGACATTAAACTGACTGTTCACACTAAGAGGAAAAAGGCATTTTAGAAGAGTTTTGCCAAATCAAAGTTAAACACAAATGATTCAGTTTACTTGGCATCTGAAAATACATTTCCTCAAAGGTATTTTGAATCTGAAAAGAGCTTCACTGAGTGAGAACTAATGTTGAGAGCTTAGCAGACAGTTAAGTTTCACTTTCACTTTCACCCGAGAGCCTGCAGGAGTCATAGGCGGGGTGTGTGGGGAGGGGAGAGGGGGTGCGCTCTGCCATGTGGAAGTTCGGATTAAAGACTCGTCCCAGGGGCGTTTCTGGTACCAAAAAGTGTTTCTGGTCCCCACCTGTCATTTTGCTCCTCAGCATGGCTTCATAAAAACACTGCAGGATTTCTCAAACATGATGAATGAGTCAAAGCAAGGCTTTGGACATGTTTTTATGAGAGTATAACATTATAACATGATATAAAACTAAAAAAAGATGATTTTACATGATATTGCCCCTTTAAGAAAGTTTACCTGAATGTTGGAAGTTAATATGTTTCTGTGAGCCTTGTAATAAAGAGGTCTTTATTAAAGCAAAGGCCGTTAACCACATCTGATTGGATGTTCATTGCTTCAATGTTTAATTATATTATTGGGTTACTTTGGAAAGAGACCCTTTAGAGGTCCATTTTGGAATTATTTAGCCCTCCCCAGTCATTTGACTCTAAAATTAATTCCTTCATTCAATGATTTCACCCTTCCCACAATATTAACCCCTATGCCTCAGTTTTGGCTGCTAAAATTAATGTGAAAGTAGTTAAAGTCAAACGTGAAAGAAAAACAAAAGAGAAGAACCAAGCTTTTTAAAAAACAGAGCAAATAAAACTAACCAATCAGTGCTGAAATGGGCTCACAGGATCCGAAGGAGGTTCTTAAAGAGACAGAGGCCAATTTCAAGGTGTTTAGAAACAGATATGATGAGAAGTCAAGTTTATTTTCTATTTAAACATAAAAACAGCATTTTAATAACAACTGAAGGTGACATAAATACTTTATTATGGTATAGAATTTAAATATATGCCTGAGAAACACGTGATATTGCCCCTTTAATATAGACTGAATATAAGGTTAAGCTCAACGAGACAAGAAACACGTGGAGAAGACACAAGAGGAAACAGGTGAGCGTGGGCGGGGCAGCTGGGCAGAGAACACACAGGGAAACACTGAAACACTAGAAAAACAAGGTAGAGGATACAGACCATGACAAGTTTAGGTCAAAACATAGTCATTTTAAAGTGACAGTACCACATTTTGTCTGTACTATCTGGCAACCCTGGCTGGCACTGGAATGACAGTGGATTCAACAAGGGCAGTGAGGTTGCTTTATGTTTATTTGATATAGAAAAAAACGCTAAAGTTTCCAGAGATCGTTCAGGTGTGAACCTGAATCTTACTTGGTTCTCCTCTTCAGTTCTTCACGACAATAAGCTGACTCACACCGACCTGAAGCCTGAGAACATCCTGTTTGTCAACTCCGACTACTCTGTCATCTACAACACAGAGAAGGTGAGAAGATGCTGAATAAGAAGGGATCAGCAGCGACAGAACAACTTGACAAAACGCTTCATGTTTGCCCGTTTACATTAAAATTAGTCTCAGGAGAAATGTGAGTCACGTGTTCACGTACATGTTCATCCAGGAGACTGCAGGAGATGTTTATTCATCTCAGCAGAACCTGGGATTTTCACAAATACATTGTAGCTAAAACAAATTTAGAAGAAAAAAATTGTCATATGGGTTTTATTTTTTTTAAATGATAAAAGCTTCTTGTTCATTAAATTGCGAACCGTTTAGTAAAATAAATGCAGACAAAGAGCTATTTGTTTTTAATTTTAAAGTTCCTGTAGCTGTGTTTCCATTACAAATGTGCGCAAAACTTTGTCGATATTCTGTTAATGTAAAAAAAAAAAAAAGTTTCGCAACTGCAGTGTTCCCATTAAGTAAGAAATGTTATTAAAGTCACGTGAATACATTTGTTCTCATGATAAGTCATTACAGACATGGCAGCGATGGATGTAAACACATAGCATGTTGCTACCACGACACTAGCGCTCATCATCAGAGGAGACGTCGGCGTCTTTTATCGAGGCTTTCCAGAGACAAGTCCCTACTTGGGAGCGGCTACGTATGCTGTGTTTTTGGGAAATTGTAGTCGGTGAGTTTACTACTTTCTTTTACAACTTCTGTGATATTACTCCTACTTTTACTTCCTGTTTTCTTCTTCGTTATCTTTTTTGGCCAGTAGAAGTATCCAGTTGTTGACCACGTGACTCCCGTGATGTGAAAAAAAGTGTACATTGCAGTTTTGCGAAATACACCAATTTTGATATGGCTGAAATACCACCTCATCCTAGCGCAAAAACATTTTGTCGAAAAAAGGAAGTTTTTTTTAAATTGACGTGTTTCCGAACAAATTTATTTTCAAAATTCTAATTTGCGCATTTTCCTGGTCAATGGAAACGCAGCTAGTGACATTTATATTCTTTAACACATTATCAAAACACAAAAAGTCAAAGAAAAAATCTTTATATTCAAGATACTTGACATAATACACATACACGTATCTGGCATATTTTCTTGGCTCAGCCAAAATAAAACAGGAAGTGACATCAAAGGGGAACTCTTTCAGAAAGGAAACTTCCTGGTATTTATTTAAAGAAACAATATTATTTGAACTCTGATTCCTCTTCATCTCTCTGATAGTGATTAAAATAAAAACAGATTATTTTTTACAGTCTGTGTTGCCAGCTATTTTAGTAATGCTTTATTTACATTCCGACATCCCCTTTGACATCACTTCCTGTTGCTTCATATGCAAACATCTCAGTCGTTCATCTCAGTGGCATGAAATTAGATTTTTCAATTTGTTATCAAATTTATCTTTCCAAACATGTCCTCATATTTATAAGAAATATTTGATGTCCCAGGCACTTTAAGTGATTTCACAAACCTATACTTTAAAGTTCCTGTGACGTCAAAATCTTTGTAATAACACAAATGCATTTTTGGAAAGATAACTTTGAAAACATATTACAAAATAAATGTCGTGCTGCTGACATGAACAGTTGAGATATTTGCATGTGAAGTAACAGGAAGTAATGTCAAAGGGGAATGTCTGCATGTAAACCATAGGAGCCCAAAGTGGGGCCCGCGGGCCAGATTTGGCCCACCAAGCCATTTGATTTGGCCCACCAACAGTTGCCTAAGTTACAAGGTTGTAACCTGATATCCTATAGGTAGAAAACACAGTATTTCCATTGGCCAAATGACTATATAAAAGGGCTGTAGTGAAGGTAGTTTTCAGTCATGGTGCTGACTTTATCTTTGATTTATTAGGATTAAACATGAAACATGAAACGACAACAAGAAATATTTAGGTCAGATTTAACCCCGCATGTAGATTTGCACACTTTATAAGGCCACAAAAACTCATATTTTATCTAATTATGATATGTCCCATGAGCCTTTGCTACTTGAGCGCATACTCCAAGTGCACAGACTAAAACAAAAGAGGGCCATTGCACAGCTTAGTTGTTCAAAATAAATGACTTTACTTTTAAAAAAGTATTTGTATTTCATATATTATATAACTGCGTCTGGCCCGCAGCCATGGATAGATTTTCATTTTGGTCCCCTCGGGGAAAATGTTTGGGCAACTCTGATGTAAACAGAGCGATGCTAAAATGCTCAGACTGTGGAGGAATCTGATGTTTTACATTATTTTGAGTCGCTATCAGACAGAAACAAAAAAGTCAGCTTTCAAATAATGTTTCTATAAACAAAGACCAGCAAGTTCTTTTTCTTAAAGGAGTTCCCCTTTGATGTCACTTCCTTTTTCCCTTTTGGCAAGAAAAGTTCAAAGGAAAATAGACCAGTTATGTGTCCAAATGGGTAAAATAATGTGTGTTATGGCAAGTTTTTTTTAAATAAAACAAAGTTTTCTTTGACTTTTTGTATCTGAAGGATAAGCATGTCACAGACACTTTAATTGTCTTACACAACCATCAAACCTTTTAATTTTCTGTGTAACCTAATCCTTTGCCCTCTGATAAGAGGTAATATATTCCATGTTTCTGTCTACCTTTAAATCCAGAAATGCAATGAAAGGAGAATAAAAGACACGACAGTGAGGCTGGTCGACTTTGGCAGCGCCACCTTCGACCACGAACACCACTCTGTCATCGTTTCCACGCGTCACTACCGAGCTCCTGAGGTCATCCTGGGTAGGAGACGTCAGTTTACTCGGGGGAAAGTAACTGTCAGAGTTGTGTGTCGTGTCTAAACGCTCCTCCTGCCCTCAACAGAGCTGGGCTGGGGTCACCCGTGTGACGTGTGGAGCATCGGCTGCCTCCTGTTTGAATACTACTCAGGCTTCACACTGTTCCAGGTAACATCTACAGAAGGTTAAAGGCAACTCTAGTTGTAACATTTGACATTTTGATAAACATGAACTTCAATATGCAATCTACATATTTAAATATCAAGCTAATGTTTCTTTATATATTTCAAACATAACATCTGTTTATGTAATAAAAAGAAAAAAGAAAGGAGAAAAAGGACCTGAAAACAGTTTGAGAAGGGTCAGGATGAAGCACCAAGCCAAAGTTGTAAAGTAACTAAGTACAAATACTAAATTGTTACTGTACTTAAGTATAATTTTTGGGTATTTGTACTTTACTTGAGTAATTATTTTTCAGCCTACTTTTTACTCCTACTCCTTACATTTTAAAAAAAGACAAGAAGTAGAAAGTTGTTACTTTTATTTCATTGTTTCTTGTTTTCATTGCAGCTTGTTGTTGTAAAAAATAAAAACTATCCATATAAACTGAGCCTCCTAGATAGAGTGAATTTAACTGTGGTTGAATGAGAAGTATAAATATATAAAACTCTGATAGTGTATTAGTTTGTACACAAACAAATC